ACAGAATTTAACTTACCAGCTCATAGGATGAGGGTGACTGGGAATACCTTGATGGAGTTCCACTGGAGTCAGCTGATGAACCTGTGAAAAGCATTCTTAGACCCGATGCAGAGGAGTTTCAGCCCCGGAATGAGATAATGCACCTGGAACACTTCAATGTGGATGGGGAACAGCTCCAGATGACAGCAGAGGAGGAAACAATGGAGGAGCATTATGAAAGGGAAAAAGAGGAACGACAGGAGGATATGGTACATACAGAACAGGCTGAAGAGGAAGGGCGGCTGAAATTCACCTTGGACAAAGAAGAAGAAAGAAATACAGCAAATGAAAATCTTACCAGTGACGAGGCTCACGATGAGCACCAGCAGCAGCGAAAGTGTCCTTTGAGAATTAGATAAAGCACAAAGACTTTCACATATGATATCCTAGGTCAGCCAACACTATTAAAGCTATTAAAATAGAAAATGTGTTTATAGGAGTGTTTAAGTTGTTGCATTAATTAGTGTTTTTAGATACTGACGTGTCATAAAATGTTCAGGTATTTGTAGTTTTGTAGGGGGAATTATACAAAAGATGCATTAAGTTTATTCCTGTTCGTTGATGCCATTCAGTTTCTGTAGGTGAACTGCTGAACACAAGCTCAAGAGGACACTGCGGATGGAAGTTATTATGAACTCTGGCAGGATGTGATTGTATGTTGCTATTTATAAGGGAAAAGTCCAGAGTAGATGCGTTCTTTGTGAATGTTTTCTTGAGAAGGTTGAATGTTCAGGTCAAAAGGTGAAACCTATTTTGAAAATGAGTACTTTACCTGTGGGTATTCCAGAGTGGTGGTTTATCATAGTGCACGATGATACCTGCCACACCCATGTTAAGTTGAGTGGGGTTAAACGTGATGTGACAAGACTGAGATAGATCAGTAGACAGTACTCAAATTGACCCCTGAACCTGTTTATGTCATCCCTTAGAAATGTCAAGGACATGATGTGCTTAGTACATGTACGGGAATATCGGGGCGACATTCAATTTTTGAGGGGAGAGTGTGGAAAACATAGAAATTATGCTTATAATTTGTGACCCCCCCCTTTAAAAGAACGTACGGATGCATGTGGGGTTTTGTTATTTTATTGTTTAATTTAATCTAATGTTATTTTTTTATTTACAACTGTTTGTGTACTTTGATTCAAGGGCATTGTGAATGATGCATAGCACTATCAGGCGTAAGTGGGCCAGCAAAAAGAGTTTCGGGGTCCTGATGATTCGGCAATGAGGGAGAGAGAGCGATGCGCCATGTTTGTGCTCAGTTTTTTTTCTGCTCATTTTGTGTAATAAAAACCGGATCTTCATTTCATCACGCTTGTCTACGGTCTCATACTTCAAGTGTGCAACAATCACCTTCACATACTTTTACCTTAACTGTTCCCTCCTGGTGGAATGACCTGCCCAACTCAATCTGAGCAGAGTCCTTAGCCATCTTCAAGAAAAGGCTAAAAACACATCTCTTCCATCTACACTTGACCCGCTAACACTAGCACTCTCTATTCTATTTCTATTTCTATTTTATCTATTCTATTTGTATTCTACTACTTGCTTCATTTTTATTTAAAAAAAACAATAAATGCTCTAAAACTAGCGTTCTGTATTTTTTCTTTATAAAAATGACCCTATAACACTATCGCTATTCTTTTTCTATTCTTTCAACTTGTTTTCTTTATATATATATTTTTTTAAATGACGCTCTAACACTAACATTCTCTATAATTTTTCTATTGTATCTACTTGTTTTCTGTTTATTTATCATTTAAAAACAAAAAACTTGCTACATATATTGCATTAGACGAACCGAGACTTGTCACAGCACTTAAATATTATTACTCTTCTTTTGGTTTTGATTACTTCTGTTGTCCTCATTTGTAAGTCGCTTTGGATAAAAGCTTCTGGTAAATGTAAACGTAAGGCCGACTAAACTCATTAAAAACAGCTTCTGTAAGTGGTGAATGTATGTGTGTATGTGTGCATCATAATACCTCTCAGTGATAAGTGGGGCGGGGCCGAGAGCCGTGGGAACGGAGCCAGGCCGGTGGAGTTAATAATAATGAGCAACACCTGCGCCACTCACTGGTCTCGAGTCCCACAGAGGAGCTCCAGAAGCATAAAAGGAGGAGTAACGACAGTGAAGGATGAGAGAGGACCAGGCCTGGACTTAATTTTGTGTTTTGTGTGCGGCAGTCGTCTGTGAGGGGCTGCCGCTGTACTTTCATTTTGTGTTTGTTTTTTTATTATTAAAGTCTTTAAATGCTAGCCGGTTCCCGCCTCCTTCTTCCCGTTCTATTAACTGTGTTACAGTCTGACACAGCGTGATTGACCACACATAGGACACACTGTGAATTCTGGGTGGGGAAATGTTGTCTTAAGCTCCTGGAGCAGTGAGTGTTAGAACCTTGTCACTCGGAGAATCAACGTTTTAAAGCTGCACAGTGGACCAGAGTTAGTGATGTGTTGACAGTTTTAGAGAACACGGCTTGTAGAGTATGGTAGGTGTTTGGTAAGAGAGACTTGGAAAAAAATTGACAACACCAAGTTTGATAAAGTCATGGAAATACTTTCCATTACAACACACAAAGCCCTTAAAGCTAGTTTGCATGTCTCTTATCACAATACATTATCAAAGGCTTCACAATAAATTTCTCCTAGAAATGCCTAGTACGAAAAAAGAAAACCAGTTTTATCTCAATTTAGAATCAGTACTAAAGGGATCAAATGAGAATCTGCTAAGATACTGAATAAGATGAAATTGTGGGGAAATTACTTGTGCCTATTTTGTGTCCATTTTGACTTTATTTGATTCTTATATGATCTTATTTAGGATCTCATGAGAAAGGAGAATCACAAATGAGTGTCTTTAATATGTCTTTAATATCTGAGATAAAGTAGAAACAAAAACAAGAACTCAATGAAGTCTGCAAACAATTAGCCCTACAATCATGGCCAAAAGTTTTGTCAGTGACATAAATTTTGTGTTTTGCAAAGTTTGCTGCTTCAGTATTTGTAGATTCTTTTCCCACATGTTTCTATGGTATACTGAAAAACAATGATAAGCATATCATAAGGTTTAAAGGCTTTTATTGGCAAACAAATACAATGAGTCAATATTTACAGTGTTGACCCTTGTTCTTCATAACCTCTGCAATTCGCTCTGGCATGCTGGATATTAGCTTCTGGGCCAAATCCTGACTGATGGCGATCCATTCTTGCCATATTAGTTCTCGGAGTTGATCACAATTTGTGGGCTTCTGCTTGTCCTTTTGAGGACTGACATCAGGTTCTCTATTGGATTGAGTTCCATGGAGTTGCCTGGCCACAGATCCAATATTTCAATGTAATGATCTTCGAGCCACTTCTTTATCACTCTTGCTTTGTGACATGGGGCTCCATCATGCTGGAAAATGCACGGATCATCACCAAATTGCTCATGGATCATTGGAAAACTTTCAAAACAGTGATTTTTTTTTGTTGTTTTTTTTTTGTGAAAAGTTAATTTTTTGGGCCATTTTAGCCATTATTTAAAATGCATCTGATCACTCTACACAATAATCTAGAAACAATGTGAATGAACACCACAACAGCTTAAGCAGCAAACTTTGCAAAACATAACATTTATGTCACTGCCAAAACTTTTGGTCATGACTGTACAATTCACCTTGTGTTTCTATTATGTTTAAATTAGGGTGTCTTGTTTTTTTTCCCATATGAGACAAGCAAGAATCAAAACCTTAAATGTATAGTCATCTGAGGAAATCTGTGTCTTTATGCTTAAGATCTTTAGAGTTGTGTCTGAGTAACTGGTTAAAATGCTTCTATTTTGCATTTCATTTTTTAATGCAAATCTTTAAATGATATTTTTAGCATAACAGTTAAATTTGTTTGTGTTAAAACAGTTTAAATGAGATTTTGCCCAGATTTTCATTGTGGTCTTTGAAAGTTCAGAATGAGATACTGATTTACGTAAAACCTACGTCTAAACATAAAAAGAGGATTAATTCTGAATTTTATAGATTCTGTGTTTTGTTTTCTTTTCTTTCTCTCGGTCTGTCTATGTATTTCTTCAGTAAGCATGAGACTTTGGTCACTATTCTAACCTCAGTTCAACAGTCTGGAGCCCACTGGCTTGTGGTTTTGGGGACGAGTTCAGAGAAAGTACTAATACATTCAGCACAGTGTACAACATTAAGTTACTGTCTGAAAGTGACTTAACAGAATGCACCAGTTCAACTTTCTCCAAATGTTTTCCAGATTCCTGGATGCAAGTCCTATCCATCTTTTGGGGAAATGCCTGGTGACATCCCATTTAGTGATGTGAAAACTGATCCACGATATGCCTATGATTTCATGTCTTGTACAGATGTAGCATGTAGAGTACAGACAGGCAGATTATTGAGCATAGATGAGGATAGACAAATGTTATAGTTTAAATAACAAGGAGAGAAATTATCCAGTTGACATGGTTAATGATGTCCCAATGCAGCTCTGTTTAAAGTTGTTGTTATTTATTTATTTATTTGTTTGTTTGTTTGTTAGTTCATTCATTAATTCATTCATTAATTTATGCTACTTGGTGAAGGATTATAGTGAAACATAATTTCTGGAAAAAAAAATCTCCCTTGTCTAATTTTATAACTAACGTTTTTATGTAGGCCTATCCTAATTATACACAAACACATACATATATATATATATTCTATGTATAATTCTCTCTCTCTCTCTCTGTGTGTGTGTGTGTGTAACACCATAAGGTTTTCGTCGTTTTAAAAAATGTAAAAATAATAAAGTGTAGGAACAATGCAATAAAATGCATGCATCGTTTGAAAAGATAGGGTTTTCTAAGATTGTGTAAAGTGATCTTAATGTTACAGAAAGAAAGAAATCGTTTTTTTTTATTCAGTCGTCCGATGGAAATCGAGATGGCAAAATGAGTTTGTTTCGTTTACGTTACCATGGTGAGACGCACAAGCAGCGCTTACAGGGTCTGGTGCAGACTGCAGAGTTAAGAGGTGTAAACAAAACCATATCAAGTGCAATTAAATTATTTTAATTATTTAAGCCTCAGACTAACCCAGGGCTGTTGCTTATCAAACAGCGGCGTAACGCAAAAGAACGTGAGTGCAATGACTTCAGAGGTTGATGAGGAAAATAACCCGGCTGGAAGGTGTTTACTGGGAAACTGGGTTGAGGAGGTATGTTTCACACAACATATTTAAATGATCCTGTAAGCTGAGGCTTAGCAAAGTTTTGTTTGTCGTCCTGGTGGTACATCTGTAGTTACAATATGAACGCTTCACCTTCACCTTTACAATGACATGTTACACTTTTCTCTTTTCTTTCACGCGTTTCAGAGGGCTACTGCATTGCTAGACGGGACCGGGCCTAGATCATGTGTTCATAAGTACGGACACACAGGGATTCTTACCATGGACGTGGCTGCTAAAGTACAGGGGATCAGTACATTCAAAGCTACGTTCAATTCTCCTAAAAGCCTTGGTGTACGACAAAAAGGTAGGTTAAAATGATACAGGCGTTATAATAAGGATTTTATAAATTCATAAATAAACATTTGCTGAAAAACGACACAGAATTATGTTTTTTCAGCTGTTTTAACAGATGCTTCTGTGATTCATTCTTGACAGCTTATGTCAGCCAGTAGGGTTTACCTCTGTGATGCACGCAAATTAGTAGAACATTTAAAATGTTTTAAAGACATAAAACACATGCATAATCCACAAATATAACCACATAGTAAAAATGCAGAACTGGACCAATAGTAATAGTGACAGTTCTGTCAGCTGACCTAGGGATTAAAAATTACTTTTGCATTATTACATTTATTTGACTTATTGTTAATTATTAAAATTCCTTTTCGTTCTTCAGCTTATATAGTACTCCACAGAGGTCCTTTCAAATAAAGCCCTCTGTTCTTTCTGCTGCATAAATCTTATTAATAAACTTCACTGTTGTTTTCATTTTAGGAAGCCGGGCTGAACTTTTGGAAAATGACCTCATCAAAAGAATAAGGTAGCTAAATTTACTTTAAAGTTTAATGTTTAAGGACCTCATTGTGTGTAAAACACGAATTACATTTTATGATCCTCCCACATTTCTTGTTTCATGTGTCAGTAGAGGAAACAGTGGGAGAAGGAGTATGAATGTTTGGATGTAAGAATGTTTGTGTCATGGTTAGATTCATAGTTCAATTAAATAATTTAATTTTTTATTTACCATGCAACATTCTAATTCATTTTTGAACATGACCTTGACGACAAGTCTCAGACCCCAGACAAGTGGTTGTAATATCGTTTTTAGATTAAAAGAGAAAGAGAGAGAGAGAGAGAGAAAACAGAAAAAAATATCATGCTGAAGTGAGACAGTACCTCATACCCATAGAGCTGGTATAGGCAGGCATGAAAAGACAAATACTCTTTTATAGAAGAATTTCATTTATCAACAGCAAGTTCACATTAAATCATTTTCGCTAAACTGCTTCACTTTCTAGAAAAACAGTCAATGGATCTAAAGGTGAATACTATTTTATTTATGCAGTTCTAACATAAAGTACAAATATTTAATCTCATTTTTAGCATCAGAATTAATTTCTTGTTTTATATAATCGTAACACATTAAGGCTGAGTTGGCTCTTCCTCTATGTCAGATTGCTGTCACTGTGAATAAATGTTAGACAGACGTGCATACATATATTTCAATCTGTTTTGTTTCCACCATCTGTTGATTTAGAGAGACTCCTTCAGCTTTACTTAGACATGAGTCATTACTTCATCATCTCCAGACATCATAGTGACTGTGTATTTTGCAATATTAAAAACCTTTTCAAGCAGATGAACTTTATTAAACATCTAAAATCAATAACAGGATATCAAAATTTTCTTCGAAACTTTTTGGGCCTGAAGCAAAGATGGCAGTATGCAATTTCAGTACTTCTAGGCTACATGTGTCAGCTGAACAACTGCCATTGAGATGAACAGATCTCTCTCTAAGTATATTAGAACTCCTTGATTGAATCACAAATACAAACCAACTATGCAGTTTTTTAACATAACATTGTAATCTATTTTACAGTGATCAGATACATGCAGAGATGAACGCAGAGCCTCCGGCCCCTGAGTTGTGCTCTGTGACCAAAGCAGACTACAAGGCGGAGGGCTTTAAGTCTGTCCGTGCACCACTGACCACGGTCTGTTTCTATACACCGTAACCTTTAAATATAATATTATTGCTGTAACTGTACTTTTGGATATGTGTGCACTGGTGTGTGTGGATTTGTGTGCCTTTCGGCGTCAAACAGCTTGTCTCTTTCAGGATCATGATTACACAGCTGAGCAAGCCATCACATTTTGGAGTGATAACTATCAGAAGATTCAGGTCAGCATCTACTGTGAAGTTTCAGTCAATATGTTTATTTCTTGCAGCACTGGAGTGGGTTTATGGGTAATGTTTCTTCTTACAGGGTGTGACAGCAGTTAAAACTAAGGATCATCCATTTAAAAGAAATGCCACTTTTAGTACACCAATCGGTGAACAACTAGATCAGCTCGACGACACAGTGCTGTACCCATCAGAAAATGATGCTTTGTGACGAATGTAAAAATATCCACATTTGATCATTTCTTCTATCTTCTTTTATGTCATAATTTTTGTCGAGTTTATAACCAGCAATAAAGTTGTGTAATGTTTTCCATGCCAAATATGACTTCCTGACTTCACAAATGTTTTAATGAAGAGCAAGTGACTAGTTCTCCTCTAATAAAATAAATGTACTTGTCTTTACAGCCAAAGGAGAAAATGGTTATTTGGGTGCAGATGGCAGCCTTTTTCACTCTGAGAGAGGAGAGCTCTAACCATTTGCTAATACTCTGTTTCTTTGGATCAGGATGGCTTACTTTCACACAGCTGTGCTGTCAATCAGAGCTGCTCTGTTGCTGCATCTTGTCGCTCTGTCGCTGCATTCCTCTTTCATGCTTTTAGCAGGGATTAATGTTGGATAACTATGGCAACAAGTAATTTTAGACTTCATTAATTCAGTGTTTCCCTTTGTTTTCACAAAATTTGTTTTCTCTGAGGAACTTGACAGAAAGTCTTTGAACTACATGTTCTAAAAAATGTACTAAATACATTTAAATTATATTTTTTAAGTTGTTCATTTAGATCTATTCTGTCATGTTTTTTGTGTCTCGCCAAAATTCAGTCCCTGAACAGTATCATTGTTTTTATACCGTCTTCCTAATGAATTACATGACTCCCAAAGTCCTAATTTGAAACCATCAGATAGTGATTTTGACTTTTAGTTAAGTTACTAACAATTGCTTTTTTTTTTTGTAATGAACCATAATTATGAATTGAAAGCTATGATTATATTTCTTAAAGCCCTGGCCAAGCATGTTTTTACTGAGTATATCAGTGCAAAGCTTTGGAGGATGACCTCTTGGCAACAGGACTGACTGTGACAGAGCTGCTAGTGGGCGGTAATTAAGAATCATGGGGGCGAGAAGCGGCTGTGAACATGAGTGCATGCGCACACACACACACACACAGATGCAGTCCACTGAAGGCACAGATGCCAAATGGATTCTTAATGATCAGACTACGATGACGTCATCCCTATTTACCACCAAACTGTTGAGTGAGCAGTAATGATCAGGGAGTTCTTTAACAAGCAGACAGTGTATGGTTAAAGAGAGTAACACTAAATGCTTTATAATATGGAAATACTGAAAATGTTGTTCTATTATTTGTTTAAACTGATGTGTATGTGTGTGTGTGTGTGTGTGTGTGTGTGTATATATATATATATATATATATATATATATATAT